TATATATATATATATATATATATATATATATATATATATATATATATATATATAAATCAACATTCATAGAATACAAATAGTTAACCATTTTTTTATTTGGATTTTCAAATGATTTGTGTGTTATTTACGTTTTGTATAAAAAAATTGTATGTTTTTATAACTCTTCATCAACTTCATCCATCACCGTATAAAGTAGCATGGTAAAATAGTCATTTTTTATCGGTCAGCACATTCAGTCAGATGTACAATCAAACAACATGATTTCTTACTCAGTCATGACTTCTTACCCATATAGACCTTTCCTAATCAGCACTTTCTCAGTCAGCAACTATCAAACGAGACCTTAGTGTGTTACATTTGTTAATTAACAACAACAATCAAAATATAAAAATGAGAGAGCGTTAGATTTAGAAATTAGGAATAGTGAAACACTTAGGCCCCGTTTGATAGTTGTTGACTGAGAAATGTCTGTCTGGGTAAGAAATTATGGCTGAGTAAGAAAACATGTTGTTTGATTGTATAATTGACTGAATGTGTTGACTAATAAAAAATGACCATTTTACCCTTTGCTCTATTCAGTGATGTAAATTTCACACAAATCCTTTAAAAATCCAAATAAAAGTTATAAAAGGAGTCATTTTTTTTATAAAGTTATAAATAAGTTCATTGTTTTTCTAACAATTCAAACAATTTATTCATTGACCAAAATTGATACAGAGCAACAGTAAACATACGAATAACACTTTGACCAAATTGCCCCTGCTCTATTTTTATTCCAGACCATTCCATGAGCATAGAACTTTGAAAAATCTTGCTTTCCTTGAAATGAAAAAGATCGAATTGCCCTTTAGACAAAACCGTATAACTCCAGCTCTTGTAAAAAATGGATCCTCTCATCCATATCTTCAATAATCTACTAATTTTGAATTTCTTGATCCAAAAAAACCAATTGAGAACCAACAGACCTGGCTTATACTTGCTAATCTTGAAATTAATAAAAAAAAGACCAAACCAATGAAGTTAACATCATCCTAAATAATAATAGCACAATTAAAGTAAAAAAAAGAACTTCAAATTTCATAATACAACAAACATAATTTATGATTTTATAGCTTATAAACAAAAAAAACTTCAAATTTCATATCTTGTACACAAGGAACTTCAAATTTCAGTTCTTATACACAAAGAACTACAAAAAAGAACAAATAAAACAACTTCCCTTTCACATTCAATTTCAGAATTCATAACATTAGAACAAAGAACTTCAAATTTCAGTTCTTATACACAAAGAACTACAAAAAAAGAACAAAAAAAAAAACTTCAAATTCACATACGGTTTCAGAATTCATAATTTTCTAACAAAAAAGTATTTTGATTTCATAAAGAACTTCAAATTTCATAACATCAAAGCATAAATGGTATCTGATTTTAAAAATTATTAACAGAAAAGTAGAAGAATATCTTACCTGTTTGATGAATTTCTGTCCGGAGAGATGGCGTCGAGATGGCGTCACTGATGAAAGAGAACTCTGGGGGAGGTCCGACCGGCGAGATGGCAGAGGTCCGACCGGCGACCTCTGTTTGGCGTTCGATGTGGAGTTGTACCTGTATAGCGACTGTGCTTTTAGGTCACTGGGAAGGGAACGGACGATGGAAGAAAGAATAAAGAGGGAGGGGTAGGATTGTCTAATTTCCAGTTAGCGATTGTTAAGAAACTGAGCGAGAAAGCAACTTGGGCCAACCAATCTTACCGAGAAAGCACAAATCAAACACTTAGGGTCTGACCGAGTCAGCCCAATTTGCTGACTCGACCCAGTCAGACATCTGTCAAACACACCCTTACTTGTTCAATTTCAGTTGACAATGAAAAACCAAAACGAGAGTGCAATAAAAAACAAGAGGTGGAGTCCAGTGGATTCAGAAATCCAAGAAACAATAAACAAAAAACGTTGTTTGAGCTTTGTAGTTGTTACAAATTTGGAAGTTTGGAATTAAAACAAAACATAAGCTCTTGTTTGCCGTAAATTTACATTAGCCCAATGCAATTTATAATTTTAAACTCAATTTTCCAAAACATGAGTTGTTGTAATTTTTAATTATAGCATCATCTATTGGAATTAGAAAAAACATGAGTTTTGGTGTTTTTGATTACTGGATTGTCGTTTGCTAGATATGAGTTTTGGTGTTTTTGATTACTAGATTGTCGTTTGCTAGACAATGAACTGAACCATAAAGACGCTCATATGTAAAACCTGGCCCCCTTCACGACACGGGCCTGTGCGGTCGCCCAACTCGGACACCCTTAAAGACACCCATGCTCGTTTATTAAACGAGTTCGACCGAGCTTCTTAAAAATCAAGCCGAGCTCAAGCTCGAGCTTCTTAAAAATTAAATGAGCCAAGCTCAAACTTAAACTTAGTAGACTCAAGCTCAACTCGGCTTGTTTTACACACGAGCTTGAGCTCGAGCTTCTTAGAAATTAAGCCGACGACCCTAAGCTCTTTCAAGAAAGAAATATTTAGTTTAACGCCTCGTTCCCGAGTTTAACAAAAGAAAAGAAGAGAAGAGAAACGAAAGTCATGAGAGAAAAGAAGAGAAGAGAAACGAAAGTCATGAGTGGAAGGAAATTGAATCATTTTGTTCTTTCTTTCCAAATCCTCCCAAATCGGAAGGAAAGTTAGGAGGGAAAGTGATCCTCCCATTTCCCTCCACTTCTCTCCTTTAATGAAACTCGGGAACATCAATTTCTTTTATTTTTTTTGGGTAAATTACACCAATCGTCCCTCGTGCATATGCCATAAAGCGTGTTTAGTCCCTATTTTCAAAAATTAACTCGGACCATCCCTCGTATCGTTAAAAGTTGCACGTTTCATCCCTCGTTAGTTTAAATTTGCACGTTTAATCCCTTATGACACATAAAAAGATCAAAATGCCCTTTTCCTTTACCTTTTCATTTATTTTTAACATTTTTGACATTTTTAATTATTAAATTTTATTTTAATTATTTTTCTATTTTGTTGAAGACCTGACCACCACCATATGTAATCTACACCACCTCCGGAAATTATAGCACCATCACTACCCCTCACCGGAAAATAGAGCATCACTGCCACCCCTCACTTCATCCCATCCACTCCTCCGTTCAAAGCAAGTGTTTCACTAAAAATAACTAGAAACTACCACCTTATTCACCGAACTAGCAACCTATACTCAATCCACCACTGAACCATCCACATTTACTGTTAACACCACCAGCAGCCTCCATCGGAAAATCCATCAACAAATTAGGAAAGAATAATCAAGGCAGATCAAGAAGGAAGAATCAGGGTACGACAATGTTTAATTCAAAATCAGGAAAGGATTTAGGGTTCTTAACCTGAAAGCAGGCGGCGGCAGAGATGGAAGAGGAGGAGATGAGCGACGGTGATGCAAATCTGATTACTGTTGGATTGTCTCTGTTAAGGCTTCAGCGAGACCTTCTTTGTTGCCACCATCATCATCTTCTTCCCTATCGATATCCATATATGCCACCACCGTCTTAAACAAGTTTGAATAAAAAACCATACGCTCCTTTCTTTGATTTAAAATAACTCAATCTCGATTTCTGAAATACCCCCATCAGTGTGAGATAAAGAACCGCGACATAGGGTGTCGGAACCACCGTCTATGTAAGATTGGAGCTCTATTTGGGGATTTCATGTGTGATGGTACGAGAGAGAGAGAGGGAAAAAGAGACGAAAATTAAGGTTGGTGATTGTTAGAAGATTGACGAAGATGGAGTCGTCATTGCCGGCAAAGGTGAAAAGGGATGTCGGGAAACTGAAGGGAAAGAGTAGGGTTGAACGTGTAATTAAGGGGGGGTATTTATTTTATTTTATTCCTTTTTTAATTATACAAAATGATAAACAAATAATAAAAATATAAAAAAAAATTACTAAGGGTAAAATAGTCATTTTATGTCTTCAGGGACTGCCCGAGTGAAAAAAACATAATACAGGGACGGTCCGAGTTAATTTTTGAAAATAGGGACTAAACACGCTTTTTAGCATATACACAAGGTACGATTGATGTAATTTACCCTATTTTTTTTCTCATTTTCAACCATTTCTTTTCCTTTGTCTCGAACTCGGGAACGGGGTACGCAAATTGAACCGTTACATTACATTGTGACATTATTCGGGTCTCTGCAGAGCAGCCATTTCTTCCCAAGTTTAAACTAGGGTTTCAAAACCTCGTGATCTGCTGTCGAGACATCCTGCTGTCATTCTCGTCATCATCTTCCAATTCCGATGATAAGCATCAACATGAAACGCCACCCTCACAGTCACAATCTTCTTCGTCCATGTCATTTTATATCGATGACGTGTTAGCCAGTCTCAAAGGAACAACACCCTTTCGTAAGCCGTCGTTATTCGATTCCAACACTTGTGCCGCTGATTCTCCGACTCGAAAGGTCGATTTTCTCGAAGAAATCGACAAAAATCTTTCAGCATACCGTCGCTCCTCTGCTCAACCACTGCCGTCCTCCTTGCTCGCCATATCGTTTCAGCAGCTTTACAAGCGTAATGTGTTGCCGCAAGCTGATCCATGGTCGTCTAGCACCGAAGATGCTTCCAAAACGTAATGTACTGCTATCGGGATTTGGGGGAGAAGTAGAAAAGTCAGAGCCTTTATAAGAAATTCATTGCAAAGTTTGATTTGAAACTGGTACAACGATAGCTGTGGCCTGTGATTAAGTTTTTCTGTTTCTCTGAAGATGACATGTGATCTGGATGAAAGTACTGTAAAATAAACCAAACATCGCGGAGGAGAAGAACTATCAATTAAACCCATCAGGTTTCTTGAACTACATCATTTAAGGAAGTATCATCATATTGCTATGCTTCCTCCTTGTATCGTCTTCTTCACATCTTCTGATCTTCAATAGTTCAGCTTAGAAACTTAGCATATACTCTGGCCAAATTGGAGGAACTCCTAGCTTTATGTTATTGCCCCCAGATGAAATATTAGTTGAAAAAGGTTGATTTTATCAAACAGTTCTTCCTCTTATGATTATTGAGATTTAAATTAATTTGGATTTTTGTTTTTACAGTATTTTCATCCAGAGCACATGTCATCTTCAGAGAAACAGAAGATCGAGCATAAAAATGTTAGGGACAAATTTAAGATGTCTGAATCCGACTGTGGATCTTCCCTTGTTCAAGGTATAAAAAACATGATGTTATGTCTGACTGTATGCCAAATTTATGCCTTCTTTTATTACTATTTTCAGTGGCACAAGTCAACTTACTACAAAAGATCAAGCACCTTGCTTGCTACTGTTCTTCACAAAAAGGTAACCCTCTAATATAGTTTCTTTATATTGGAGAAAATATTTCATGCCAGTTCTTGACCAGTGACCAGTCTTATGATCTTAAATAAAATGTTGGTAAAGATGTTTAAGAATATTTGAGAAGAAATGACAGGAATACTTGGGGAAATGAAAGAAAATATAAATTAGTAAAACTAAAATTAAAACTTATTGAGGGGAAAACCTCATTTTTACTGACTTCTTTTATTTAGTAAAAAGAAAACACTATAAATAAAGTGTTGAATACAAAAAGTTTTATTTATTTATTAATTTATTTATTTATTTATTATAATTACTAAATAAACCGTCTCCTTCTTTCTAAAAATAAATAATTAAAAACCCAAATTTATAGGCATTTTGTGTTGCAGAACTTTGTCTTCGAGATATATAGTGCAGATTACAAACCCTAAATCCAAAAAAATTTACATTAGTATTATAACATGGTTTGATTTTTATTTTTTTAACAGAACTTAAATTTTAGAGGCAGCTAAGTTTTGTTTCAATACCAAAAAGAAAATTAAACCAGATGTATTTTAATGTGAAGTTGTTTTATAGTAGACAAGTTTTTCAATTGAATTATTTTTAAGGCCTTTCTAGTTTCTATTGTATTTCAAACAGTTGTCTTGTTAGAGATAAAAATTTACACGATCTTTTGATATTCAATTCATATTGAGAAATTCCACAAATCTCTTCTTGTTTTCATGGATTTTAGCTTCAACACGTTGTTCATGTATTTGATTGTTATTTTTTATTACTTCATCATTTGCAAAACAGAGAAAAAACCAGTTGGTTTGTTTTTTTCTAATGGAATAATATCCAAACCAAACTGTAGGTATAAAATTTTACAATGTTTTTTGTTATTATATATTGGAAAATTTAAAACTATCTAAATGGTTTTAATAACAAACAACATAGTTTTAAGTTTCCAATCTATAATAACAAAAAAACATTGGTTGATAATTAATCTTGCCAGTTGGATTTTTAGACATTCGGAAACAGTAAACGAACGCAAAGCATACATATATTTGTAAATCAAACTAAACTTGATACATTAATGACCATACTAAACAACTAAGCAGCCGGAGAAGATTGCACCACTAGCGGCCGCCATGATTTTCTTCTTGCATTGTCATTTATTGGTGGGTGGTGGTGGTGGTGGCGGCGGCATTACAATTTCTTGTTGCCGATAAACTATAGGCACAAGTGGTGGTGCTGGCAAGTTAAGTAGAGGCGGTGACAGGTACAAGTCCGGCTGACTCCTTCTATGAACAATTGGAGGTAGAGTGACCTCCGGCGGGAGGTTAGCACCATCATTAGCTGGTGGAGCTGTGTTTGTATCATCATCATCATCATAATCTGGTGGCAGCTCAGGGAATGTGGGTGGATTAATGGTGGTTCCCGGTGGTGGTGGGGATGCAACTAGTGGTGAGAATGTCGGATCTGAAACCGTGGGTGGTGGTGAAGCCACTACAACTGGTGGCAGTGTAGGGAGGAGGACTGGCGGAGTTTGGCGGCGGAGGAATGGTCTGGATATGAAGGGGTTGTCGCTGGAAGAGATAGGAGAGAAAGGCCATTGATCACCACAGTCTTCTAAAAGTGGGTCACAGATTTCTGGTAGACCACGGCGGTTAAGGGTGGCTGGACGACTTCCGACGGTGGCAATGGAAGAAACCAATAATAGTTGTATGCAAGTGATGAAGCTCTGGGATTTCACCATTGTTGACTGTGAAAAGCAAAACAAAATCGAAGCCTACTTATAGAGGAGCTGAATGTTCTTAATTAGTCACCGTTCCCAATGGCATGCAAATTTGCATGGTCAACCCTTTGACTTTCGACGTGTTTAATTAAAATGGAAAAGAAACCAAAAACCTATACAACCAATTCACTGTCATCCTCATTACATTTATTTTGAAATGACAAGTGGTTTGGTCAGCAGAATTAACACGCTGTATAAGGTAAATCGGTTCGGCATTTTGTTCCTTCAAATCAACAAAATCGGTTTTTATATGCATATATTCTCCTATGTGTTGGCTACAAGTTTGGCTTTGGAATCATCTTAATTGGATTAGTATTGGATGAGTTATATTGCCTTAAATAAGGGTTATGATGGTTGTTTTTTCAACAATTTTAAGTTTATGAGGAATTTTTCGTCATCTTTGAACTTTCATATCTCTTTCATACGAGCTCGAGTTTGGAATCAGCTGATTTTTCTCGTGTATATTCTACTATGTGTTGACTACATATTGGGCTCTGAAAACACCTTAATTAGATTAGTATTCGATGAGTTTCAAATCTTCAAACATGGTCTACTTGTTCTCTTCAAAATTATGTACTAATGGGTATTGATACCGAAATAATGGTATTGATACCGGCAGTGTTACCTACCATTCGGTTTGAGGATCAGTACCCTCAATTCGGACAATTTGGTATTCAATACTTCGGTATTGTTTGAGTAATGTGCTCACCCCTAATAACAGCACAAAAAGCTGTACATACTACTTTTGAAAACCACATACACAACTCATGTCAAAAATTCAAAAAATTAAACTAAAACTACTAACAAATGTAAACCGCAAGGCACATGGAACTTTAATTTACTCTCAAATATAAAATGTTTTGGAGTGTACAGTTGGGCAAGAGGGTGAGTGTACAGTTGGGGAACTGAATTAAATTTACTCTTCTTTTTACGTGCCCATCATCTAATGTAGGTCAACGTCTTGCCTTCATCGGGTCCATTTTTGCAAAAAATAAAAGAATATTAGTCTTCTTGAATTCTACTAAATGATTTTCTTTAAAACAATAAAATTCTTTGACTACAATTGAATACAAGTTTCTTTTGTTGGGTCGATATTTTAAATAGTATATTTCATTTAAAGATTATGCAATTACATCCTAGAAGTTTTAATATCTTCATGTTTTATAGAATGTATTGTTGTATATATTAGAATTAGTTACGTGATATATGCAATATCTATGACCAGTTATTCAAATATAATAAAACATGTTGCTAAAGATAGTGTTTGGATTTATTATAAATGCTTACAGTTGTATAATCAAATAATTAGATATTTAAGTGTTCTGAAAATTATGGCAATTTATCCTTTCATACACAGCCAACATATGCCATATAAGCATTTTACTGGTGAAACCTGTAAATTACTTGATTTGAAAAAGTATTGAATCATGAATATTTCAGAAAGAGAGAAAATTCCTGTTATGGATTTTCCTGAAAAACAAACAAATTTTTTTAGTTCCATTAAAATTTATTCTTATATATTATAAACAAACGGAATCAGATTGTAACCCGTGTAAAAGATAAGTAAAATTGATTTCTAAGATCCATTAAACGATCCGGAATGCATGAAAAACATCCCCTACGTAAATGGCAAATCTAAGAAGTTTGTTTATTGGACGTTTCTGATCAACCAACAAAAAGAATTTACATTTCGAACGGAATTTAAATGATAAACTAAAAAAATGGTAAACCGCATCATCTGAATAACGCACGTCAACCTGTTCCAATATCCACTTACGGAGTCAATTGCAGAACACTAGTAATATTTCAGATGTGTCAGGGTCTGAACCATGTACCTCATATGTGAAATTCCATTCAGCAACAACAACAACTAGGTTCCAGGGGCTGAATTGACAATAGTATAAGTTTTCCAACCCGGGTTCCACAATGTTTTTTTTTTCTAACTGGTTTTTCATTTTTACTCTAACCGGTTTTATTGACAAGAGCTTTTTTGCCTTAAAACCGGTTATAATCCGAACTAGTTTGTGCACCGCTAGGCGTGAATGGTTTGTTAATTATTATATATATATATTAAAGTTGTGAAGAAAAAGAACAGTAAACCTGAGACATTTTTGTCAGTTTTGGTCCCTTAAATTAAATTTTCGGTACCTCCATTTTTGTTTGTGTGTCACTTTGTATATATTAAGGAAATGAAAGTTAGGAACAATACCTGACCAGGGTACTGTTCCTCCGGTTACTGTAGACTGTTTATTGGGTTAACCGCTTCACCGCCTCTATAGTCTATAATGCTTCATTCTCACCGATCTATATCACCGCCTACTGCTTGCCTTCTCCATCTCATTCTTACACAAAAAGCAGATGACTTTACGATCTCCGGCGCTCCCCTACCGCTCATCGCTTTCAATCAAATCGGCGCCACCGTTAAATTGGCGCCACCGTTAAACGAAATCACGTCGGCCGATGAGGACGACGATTGATCGGATTCCGATATTCACTCTGAGTCAGATTCGTATTCGGA